GCGCGCCGCCCGCCCGCCGCAGCGAAAAAAAAGAGCAGAGCCGGGCGGCCCGGGCTCTCGCGGCCCGCGGCGCCCTGGCACCGCACAGGGGCCGGAGCGAAGGCGGCTGCAGAGGGGAGGGCAACGATGCCGACGGTGACCCCGAGGGGCACGTCCACGCCCCCCGCGCGGGCCACCAGCGCGGCACGCCAGTGGAGCCGAGGGCGCCTGCTTGCGCGGCCTGACGCGGGCAGCTTGCGCGCCAATGCCGGCGCAGGCGACCCCGTTTTTTTGCGTCGCCCGGTTGGCAATGACGAGTAGGGGCCTCCGAAGTGGGGTTCGAGTGGGCGGGGCCGAAGGAGCGCTCCGCATCGCCGACGCATCACCAATGCATCGGGGACGCGTCGGTGGTACACCGTCTGCGTCCGCGATGCATCGGCGGCGTCGACGTGGAGAAAATCAGGCTCCACATTGAGCCGCATCCCCGACGCATCGGCTGATGGTGATCCCGACGGGTACGTCCATGCCCCCGAAATGCAAGGACGAGGGACAAGGAGGCAGAGCGTCTTGCCTGGGAGGGGGGTTAAGCGAGGGTGAGGGCTGGAGCGTGGAGAGCGGTTGTCGAATGGGGAGGTGAGGAGCAGGAGGAGGGGGAGGAGGCTGAGCAGGAACAGCAAGAGGAGGTAGGAAGGAGGGAGAGGGGAGGAGGATTGAGGGAGGAGGGGGGAACGAGGGAGAAGAGAGAAAGGTGGGGAGAACAAGGCAGGAGGGAGGGGGAGGCGGAGGCATTGATATGGAGGAGGAAGAGGTGAGCAGGGAGGCGGGAGGGACGAGGCGGGCTGAGGATGGAGGCATGGGAGAGGAGAGCAGAAGGCGATGGCAGGGGGCAGGAGCGAGGGAGCCTGGAGCAACGAGGAAGGTATACGAACCACGCGGCACAGAGGCGCGCCGTGTGCCGAATCCCACCAGTCCTCTGGGGGCAGGTGGTCTAGAGAGTTCTCTTCCAACCCCCCTCTTCCCCTTCGGTGAGGGGCTCACCCCTCCCCCATGAACCCCCTCCCCTGGACCTGGATCGGTGGGGTCGCGAGTCCTTCGAGCGTCCAAGGTGGCCCAAGATGGCCCTCAGAGAGCCCAAGACGACCTCCAAGATGGCTCAAAATAGCCCAAGACGGCTCAATATGGCTCCCAAGATGCTCCAAGAAGCCCGAAGAACGCTCCAAGACGGCTCCGAGTGGCCACTGAGCCTCCCCAGGAGGCCGCCAAGAGGCCGACATCCTTCAAGCACCTAAGGAAAATCAATGAATGTTGCCTTCTCGCCTTTTCGCTTCCGATGGCCGCCCATGAGGGCCCCAAGAGAGGCTCAAGAGGGCTACAAGACGGCCCCAAGAGCGCTCAAGAGCACTCCAAGAGCGCCCCAAGAGGGGCCCAAGAGGCGATGTTTGGGGCTCCCGAGGGGGGGTCGTAAGTAGAGCTCCCATCTTAAGGATCGATCTCCTCCGAGATGGCCCCAAGAGCGCTCCCAAGGCTCCCAAGAGCGCCACAAGAGGGCCCCAGGAGGCGCCCAGGAGGCCCCAAGAGGCGCCCAAGAGGCCTCCAAGAGGCACCCAAGAGACCACCAAGAGGCCCCAAGACAGCTCCAAGATGACCTGAGGGCCCCAAGAGAGGCCCAAGAGAGCCCCAAGACGGCCCCAAGAGCGCCCAAGAGTGTCCCAAGAGCGCTCCGAGAGGGACCCTGCCTCTGTGTGCTGCCCCCTCCCCTGATCGAGGCAACTCCTCTGGGCATCGTCTCTGAATGGGCTGGTGGGGGTTACGCGAAGCGTCGAGAACTTCTCTCCAGTCCATGGCAGGAGCAGGGCCAACACATAGCCGTCAACAAAATGCTCAAAGCTTAAGCACTCTCAATCAAAGTGCATCTGGCGGGAGCTTTCGATCACTCGCGTCGAGTTTGCCCTGCCGCTAATCAGCCGAAGCTGCGGGAAACCAGAAGACGGGCGGAGGGAAGAATGGAGGAGGGCTGCAGCACGATGAGGAGGAACAGGAGCAGGATGAGGAGAGAAAATGGAAGAGTGTGGGTGGGGGGGAATGTAGTACGATGAGAAGGATGAGGAACAGGACGACGAGAGAAAAGGCAGGGAGGGGGGCGTGTGAGATGAGAGGAGGGAGGGGGCGGCGCCGGAGGCCTCGTCGGGCCCCCCTCGGGGCCCTCTTGGGGCCAATCCGGCCGGAGCTTGTCATCGCTCGGACGCCCATTCCCCGTGCAGTGCTCGGTTTCGCGCGCTGAACTATGCTTCGTGAGGCGATCCAGGATGCGCCTCGAGGGCCCTCGCCAAGCAAAAAAGTGCACACGCCCGAGCGATGCCTGTCGGCGGCGAGCGAGGAGGGGAAGTGAGAAGGAGAAGGCCTCTTCAGAAGGCGCCAGGGCTTCTCAGAAGCCCTCGCGCCTTCTGAGAAGTGCTGTGTCTTCGGGGGAGGCTCCGAAGACTTCTCGGAAGGCCGGGGGGACCTCCGAGCCGTCCGAGAAGGCCCGCCCCTTCTCGCTTCCCTCGGCTGCACGCAAGAGTGGCCCTGGGCAAGAGAGTGACCTTCGGTGCGCGGCGTTCTCTGGGGGGCCGCGGGGTGGCGAGACACGGGCGCGCCAGACGCCACCAGCGCATCGCGTTCGGCGATCGGGGGGCCCCCAGTGTGCCCGCACCAAAGGTCACTCCGGCGAAGGGCCACTCTTGCGCCCAGTCGCTCCCCCCCCCCCCGAGTCCGTGTGGATCGAGCCGCTGCCAGACCAATGCGTGGCGCCTTCCACCAGAAGGCGCACGGCAGGCAGGGTGTGGGGCATCGGCTGCAGAACTGACGTACCCCGAAGCTGACTATAAATGATCGACAACGAATCACACGGTTCGTGGCCCGGGGGCAACGAACGTGGAGCAGCTATCCGGGAAAAACGCTGCACGACGACCCTTGCAGCCCCCCCGAGCTCGCCGCCGAGCCCCGGGAGGGCCCACAGGCACGGCTCCTCGCAGAAGGCGGCCTCGCGCGGCGGGCCGCGCCGACTGGGCCCGGAGGCCTGCGACGCTGCGGCGTTGCGCCGCCCGCAGCCCCACCCCTGCCCGGGTGGCCAGCGTAAACCCCCGGGGCCCGGCGGGCGGGAGGCAGCAGCGTGGGAGGGCACCAGCCATGCACCAACACCGCTCCTGGCCAGGAGCACCCTGGGCCCCGGATCGGTGTCTATGCCCTCTTGCCCGAGGCAGGAGGGCGTCTTATACACCGATCCTGGGCCCAGGTGGATCCTGGCCAGGAGCGGTGTTGGTGCATGGCTGGTGCCCTCCTAAATGCATGGGAGGTGGCCGGGGCACCCGTGCGGCGCTCGCTCTGAGCGAGGCCGTGGACCGAGGAGCAGGGCAGCCGCGGCCGCGCGCGGAGGGGCAGGGAGCGGGGAGGGCGCCGAGCGGACAGACAGAAGCTCGGCGTCCAGGCAGAGGAGGCGGGGGAGCACGCGGGCCCCTCTACGCAGGCCGGTGGCCGCGGCATCGCGGCGGTCACCGAGCATGCTGCAGGAAATGTTAAGCACACACACACACGCTCTCTCTCTCTTTCTCTCTCTGGAGGCGCAGAAAGCGCAGAGGGAAGGGTAACTGAAGGGAGAGGGAAGGGGGCCGAGTACGACCGGGCATCCCTACTAGCGGTGCCAGTCGACCAGGAGGCAAGGACAGAAGCAGATTGAAACAACATCGTCATCCGACGAGCGAAACGGAGTCTAGGCAAAGGGTGCGCCAGTGAAAAGTACAGTGGCTGGTGGCTGCCCCAAGCGGTGCACCAGCTGCCCCCCGTGCTGCGGCACCATGCGCGGGGGTGTCAAGGCAATGGATAATTGTCTGTCGATCGGTGGCAGAACCTGCGAACTGCGTTTCCGCGCAGAAGAGGACAAGTGGCCACCGTCGGACAACGACGGCGGATTGGCTGCCTAATTCATGACGTGCCTCCGTTGCGACCCTGGCGCGGGCCCACAGTTGCGGGGAACTACGAAGCACTGTTCAATCAGAAAACAAAAAACTCTGCCCTGAACCAAGGCACGAATTCCAGAGAGGGTCACACCAATTATATGCCCTATAATGATATATAAAATGTGCATGTATCTGTAGTTATATGCATGTGTGCGCATATATTTGAACTACGGTCGCCCTCGCCGAATCATCTTTCAAGCGCGCAACCGAGGCTGCCTCCGAACGGGGCCACGGAACATCCTACTGCACGCTTGCTGCACTGACCGGCCAGGCGGTGCGTGGGGCACGCCAAGAGCAAGACTGAACGATCATATTCCAGATGCCGAAGTTGGAATTGGTCTCACCCTTCCACTCCTCAATCTACCCGCCTCGCCGTGTAAGATATCCGCCACCGTGCCTCGAGGCACGAGATGAAGTGTCCCCAGGTCCTCGGATTTGTCCGTACTGAGTACGGGAAGTAGTTGTGCAGGGGCCAGACAAAGAGGACCCCAAGAGGCCCCCAAGACGATCCATGAAGGCTCCAAGACGCACAAGATGGGCCCAAGAAGCCCTCAAGACGTCCCAAGAGGGTTCCAATAAGACCCTTGCGAGGACGCCAAGAGGCAAACATCAAACATCATCCTTAGGTTTTGGACAGATTTTAGCATTCTCGCCTTTGGGGGCTTCCGACGCTCCAAGATAACTTTGGAAATCATCCAGATCGTTCGAAGAGGCCCCCACAAGGGTGCCAAGACAACAAAAGAGGACCCCAAGACGGCTCGAGAGGCGCCCAAGAGGCCCCCAAGACGGCCCCACAAGAGGTGCCCAAGAAGGGGGACACGGACAAACAGTTCGACCCCTCCGCCCCTAGCGGACCCCCGAGGCTGCCAGCAAGTACCCAGGAGGCCCCCGAGAGGCGCTAAAAGGCCCAAAAGAGGCTCCAAGAGGTCCCGCAGAGGCCCTACGAAGCCTGAAAACTGCCCCCGAGGCCCCTGGCCAACAACCCAGGCACGGTGGCGGGGAGGCGCTTGCGCAGTGGGACTACCCTTACGAAGTGGCGTCCTCCAAGTCCCCATGCCGCTGACCGCACAGCTGGAACCCAAAGGTCGCGCGCACCAGAAGAGGCCCAAACACGGGCACCCGCGCAACGCGTCCCGGCCCGGCAGCGGACAGCATGACAATCAAAGGGCCAACGAACACAGCTGTTAAGTAGTTGGTGGCGCAAAAATTATCTGTCAGCCCGTATTCGACAATCCCCATGGCCATTGGCGGTACGAGAAATGTAAGTGTGCCTGTCGCGAAGGCTACGCGATCTGGTGGCGAGCGTGCCAAGATGATTGTCCAGCATAGGCCTTGCAAGAGTATGAACCATATCTCTAAAGAGGTATGCCCGCCGCACCCCCCGCCTTCGAGTTGTTGAGCTGTCATTGACAAGTAGATCAACCCGATTGATGTGGGGCCGACGCCACAAATGCTCACGTCGCCCAGAGGCCCGGCCAATTCTTCGGCTTGGCGCAGATGTGCCGACACCATGCCCATGCGTATTATGTCTGCCACGTTCTTGTCAACGAGACGCATATAGCCAGTGCTGTTCGTACCGTCCCCGACAAAGCTCGATGCGAGCTCGTTCCGGATGCGTTCCCCATCTGCCTGGACCGAACACCTGGCGTCTCGGAGTTGGCCCGTGAAACCGTTCTGTAATTGCCAAGCTGTGACGGCCGCTGCTGATGCCCACAGTCTGTCAGCCTCAAGCGTGGTCGGACACAGGGTCACCGCAACGAAGAAAAACCAAGATGTTAGATGATGGGGACGATTCACGACGTTAGCTGCGCCCACGGCACCACAAGCGAATCCGAGCATTCGGAGGACAATGCGAAGAGAGATTGAGTCGGCGGAGCTCTTCCGAAGGACCACGTATCCCAACCCCAGAGCACAAACCAATGCTTGGGACAACAACTGAAACACATCTACAGGAAACGCCGCCGTCAAAAATCTGAAATGAGCGATGAGGGTGCACATTGCGCCTGCCCCTGATAGGGATAGAAAGCCCATCCTCACAACGCGGGGCCAGAAGCCTGGCACTGGGGACCGGGCAGTGCTAATGTCTTTGCGCCACGAGTATGCAAGAAAGGCCTCGTAAGCACACCAGATCCTCGAATAGATGCTGTTGACCCGATTCGGGACCGCCAACATGTGCGTCGCGGACGCCAAGGCTTTGGCAAAGGGGGACTCCATCGGGGTAGAGATAAGAGCAGATATGTCCAGGTTCTGGGGGTTGGACAGCACGCATAAGTACGCGTGCTTGAGCCCCACAGGCCAAGACCGTAATACTTTGTCACACAATTCGAACACACCCTCTTGCCACCCATGTGTGATAAACATATGGCATGGTAGACCTTCAGGATGGCGCATCAAAGCCCAGCTTGCCTTTCCCGCTGCAAGCGTAACGGGCTTTATGTACTGGTCGTTGACAGTGTAGACGGACGGGCCGATCCTGTCATCGCTTGCGTCGAAGGGGTCATGCTCTGTGGGTACGATCCGATGCTTTTGAACTGCATGCCAAACGAGTCGCCTAAGCTGCTTCAGATCCGCCTTGGTCACGCACCACCGCTCCATTGGCACTTCGCGGTGCAAGCTGGCGCCGTCTCGCACTACGGGCGCTGATTCAACAGCACGGTCGTCTGGGCTGAGCCATACAGCCCTTGATCTCCGACCGGCAGCAGCCCACACTGTGGTCATTAAGACCCCGCCAGTGCCAAGGGCAATGCCCGAGAGACCAATGATTGCAAGGAGGTGCAAATTCTCCCGAGAGAAGGGTCCACACTCGAAGCCGACCTGGGCAAGGCAACAAGTATATTCACAACTGTACCCGAGGCTGTCCGCAACGCACTTGATGTCCTGGGCACCGTAACCGTCCTCACAAGAACAAGCTTCGAAAGGACTCGAAATCGAGCAATCTCGGAGACGGTCTCGGCACAAATCTGGCCGGCCTTCCTGGCACATCCTCTCGTCTCCCAGGTGACGCCGTGGCGGCAGCGCTGCATGAGTTGACGCATGGGGGCCCGCATCTTTAGAGGCCTCCTAGATGGGATCCGAGCGATGGGGTCGGAGGGTCGCGCCGCATCGCAACTGCATGGCCGATGCATCGGCGACGACGTCGGCCTGGAGAAAATCCGCATCCACATCCAGCCGCATCGCAGATTAAGGACGGGTGGTAAGGACGCAAGACTCCTGGAGGCCGAAAAGCTGGGATCTCTCGGGCGGCGGGCGACCCATGAGAAAGCCAAGGGGCGGGCCGCAGGGGCAAGGACACGAGGGCACCCTGGAGGAAGGCCGAGCGCCCTGAACAGGCGCGCGGACGGCACTTGGACCTCATTTTGGGAGGCCTCGAACCTCTCTCCCCCTCCCGGCCGGCGCCCTCGGACGCCGCTGCGCCGCCCGCCGCGCGGAGCAGGGCCGGCAGCAGGCCGAGGCCCGCGGCGGGCACTCCCCGGGGGCGCCGCGCCATGCCCCGCCCGCGGTGCGTCCGCCGTGCGCGGAGAGGCCGCGCGCCGCCCGCCCGCCGCAGCGAAAAAAAAGAGCAGAGCCGGGCGGCCCGGGCTCTCGCGGCCCGCGGCGCCCTGGCACCGCACAGGGGCCGGAGCGAAGGCGGCTGCAGAGGGGAGGGCAACGATGCCGACGGTGACCCCGAGGGGCACGTCCACGCCCCCCGCGCGGGCCACCAGCGCGGCACGCCAGTGGAGCCGAGGGCGCCTGCTTGCGCGGCCTGACGCGGGCAGCTTGCGCGCCAATGCCGGCGCAGGCGACCCCGTTTTTTTGCGTCGCCCGTTTGGCAATGACGAGTAAGAGGCCTCCCAAGTGGGGTTCGAGTGGGCGGGGCCGGAGGAGCGCTCCGCATCGCCGACGCATCGCCGATGCATCGGGGACGCGTCGGTGGTACACCGTCTGCGTCCGCGATGCATCGGCGGCGTCGACGTGGAGAAAATCAGGCTCCACATTGAGCCGCATCCCCGACGCATCGGCTGATGGTGATCCCGACGGGTACGTCCATGCCCCCGAAATGCAAGGACGAGGGACAAGGAGGCAGAGCGTCTTGCCTGGGAGGGGGGTTGAGCGAGGGTGAGGGCTGGAGCGTGGAGAGCGGTTGTCGAATGGGGAGGTGAGGAGCAGGAGGAGGGGAAGGAGGAGGCGGAGGAGGAACAGCAAGAGGAGGTAGGAAGGAGGGAGAGGGGAGGAGGATTGAGGGAGGAGGGGGGAACGAGGGAGAAGGGAGAAAGGTGGGGAGAACAAGGCAGGAGGGAGGGGGAGGCGGAGGCATTGATATGGAGGAGAAAGAGGAGAGCGGGGAGGCGGGAGGGACGAGGCAGGTGGCCAGGATCGGTGTTGGTGCATGGCTGGTGCCCTCCTAAATGCATGGGAGGTGGCCGGGGCACCCGTGCGGCGCTCGCTCTGAGCGAGGCCGCGGACCGTGGAGCAGGGCAGCCGCGGCCGCGCGCGGAGGGGCAGGGAGCGGGGAGGGCGCCGAGCGGACAGGCAGAAGCTCGGCGTCCGGGGGGGGGGGGGGCCGGCGTCCGGACCCTGCCCGGGGGGGGGGGGGCAGGCGCCCGCCCCGGGCCCGTCGAGCGGGTGGCAGTGGGAGGTCGGGCCTGTCTTCCTAGGGGCGGATCTGCGAAGCGAAACAAAAAACTGCCCCCCCGCCCCCCCTCCCAAGAAGAAAAGCAAGGTGGTCGGAAAGTTGTTGTTGGTTGTTGGGCCATGTACTTCTTACTGGTTTTCAGGATTCCTCCTGCAGGGCGACCTGGGCATGCCCGAATGAATGGTAAAGGGGGGGTGGCCGCCATGGGCGGCATGGGAGGTGAAGAGAAGGGCCCCACAGGGACCCTTTGGGGCGCTTTGGGGCCCAGGCACGGCCCCTGGAGGCCAAGGCTGCCGAGCTGCCGGCCGTCTCGGCGGGTCGACGAGCCCTGGCCACGTCTCCCGCACTGCTCGTGCCTGCGCTGGGATGCACCCTCTCGGGAGCCTTCGAACGCACTCCGCACCACTGCTCCGAACGCACTCCGTGACACTCTCGCTCGTCTCCCCGACAACAGTCAGTCATTCGTACACGTCGTTCATTTCTGATCGTGCTCACTTCTAGTTGTGCTCGTGTCTAGTTGTTCCTGACTCCCAAGTGGCCAGGAAGAGGCCCAGGATAGAAGAATTAGATATGAAAGGATCTTGGCCCCTCAAAAAATCAAAGAACTCTCGAATAATAAGACATGAACCGTGTGTAAGACTGCGCTTAGCGCCACGCTGGCAGTACCCACCACCGCGGTCTCGGTCGCTCCTGCCACGATTGGTTAGATGTGGCGCCAGTGGACGGGCCACGTGACCAGCTGCGCGAACGGAGACCGGAGACTCTGGTTACAATCGTGCAGCCCTTCGCTCGCTCTAAGTATGCCCTGGGCGTTGCCGAACCGTGTTTCACTCGGCGTCTTGGAAATCATGTTTGTGGTGTGCCTTCTGGTGCTAACCAGAACGAGAAAACCAACAACCACAAAAGTCGTTGTCTGTTTTGCGTGGTCAGCTTGATGTTTTTGTTCGGCGTTTGCTGATCAGCTGATTGCGCTGCTTAACATAGCCGTCCACGACGTCCCCAGTTAATTTTCCTTGCGTCTTGTCCTCCCTCTAGTACTGTGATCATGTGTTCCTGTTGCTCCTTTCCGGCCGTCGCTGCTGGCTGGTCGCGGGGCCTCCAGGCCTGCTTCGCGCAAGTGTCAGACGGTGTTGGGGCCTCTTTGTTCGGTGTGTTGATCTGCGCGCGGACCGGGAGGAACGGGAGGCAGCGGGAACGGGAGAGCGGGAACGAAGGCCGCAGGAAAGACAGGGAACAGCCCCTGACAAGAAAGCAGAGCATGATGAGAAAATACACAAGGCCCAAAAACAAAATAAAACAAACCAAGCAAACACTTCCTCAACAAACGCTCTAAAACAAACAGCGTTTGTTTTCAACAGTTGGAGCCTGGAGCCTAAATAACACAACGGTAGACCAACATAAAGCGCGCCCAAGGAGCTCTCTAGGGTGAACCAAGGTGAAGCCCGGCCTTCGGATTCTCGGCCTCCGTCATGCACCTCTACAAGCCTTCTCGCTCGGGTCGGACCCAAGTTCGCGCGCCCTCTAACATGGACAAGGGATCCGTGGATTTGGCGCGTGAGTGCCAAACCCACGGATCGGGAACGTACCCCCCTACTCCGAGTTTCTTGATAAGCGTCGGGGGGGGGGGCGTCACCCCCGCCGACAGCCCCACATCGACCCTCGTCGCGGGCAGCCAACGCGCGCCGAAGGCGCTCCGAAATCCGTCGCGGCGCGACGATGAGGCGAGGTTGACCCCCGTCGCGGGGGCATCCCCACCGCTTATACAGAACCCTGAGAGTATACATGGCGCCAGTGCCGCCTCATTTGGCGACGCGGCGCGCCGATTCAAGTACGGAAACGGGGCCCGTCCCGAATCCACGTGCCCTCATCCATGTTCCCATGTTCCCGACTAGTGCCGCTGCCTCTGTCCTTCCCAAGGAAGCCGCGCAGCGTCACGAGCTGCACCCCCCGCAACGCCGGACAGGACACCGCCACCCAGAGCGGCGCCCGGGGCCTGGGCCTCCATCTGGCCGAGAGGACGGCGATGGGCCACGGTGGGGAGATCCGCGCCACGGGGAGGGGAGCATCGAGCTCGAGTCAGCGATACAACAGGCCCCCGACGGCGACCCAGCACGTTCGTGGGCGGGCTGGGTGGGCTGTCGAGCCCCCATCGGCGGCACATGGGCCATTCCAGAAAAGAGGCGCTGCCTGTGGGGGCCGAAGGAGTCGTCCTCTCTTCCTCGGCGGAAGGCGGCGGAAGGACGGCGGCAGGTCGGCGGCAGGAAAACGAGGCCGCCTCCGCCAGCGGAAGCAGGCGGCAGCCGGCGGAGGGGCGGCGGAAGGCGGCGGAAGCAAAAAGTTGCCCTCCAAGAAATGGAAACGTTTTTGGGGTCAGGGCTTCCGAGCTCGTGGGCGATCGGGGGTCCACGCGTTCCCCCTGAACCTGCCTCCCCCGCCCGAACGTTGCTCCTCGGTTTTCGGGTCTCGGGCGGGTCCCCGACAGGCGGATCTTGGACGAAGAATGAAAGATAGTCACAAAGTGCACCAAACAAGCTCAAAAATAATCGAGAAATCGTTCCCTGACTTAAAGGGCAACGATAGGGGGGGACTGGCATAGGGGGGGATGCATCGACCTGGAATCGGCGATACATCGCCGATAGATCGGCGATAGGCCTCCGATCATGAATCCGCACCTTCCTGGGCAGGTTAGGGCTATCGGGCCCCTATCGGCGATCAATGGGCGATTGGAGGTCGATGCACCCCCCCTATGCCTATTCCCCCCTATCGCTGCCTCTGATGATGATTTGTTGGCTATTCTTGCATACACTCCTCCTCCTGCTCCTGCTCCTCCTCCTCCTCCTCCTCCCCTCCTCCTCCTCCCTCCTCCTCCTCCTCCTCCTCCTCCTCCTCCTCCTCCTCCTCCTCCTCCTCCTCCTCCTCCTCCTCCTCCTCCTCCTGCAGAGGGCCAGGCCCGCCTTTTCACCGTGACGCGGGCCTCCGGCGGCCGTGCGGGAGACGAGCCGGGGGCACGGCCTTTGGAGCGCCCTCGGCGAGGCGCGGCGGCGGGAGCGCAGCCCCCGCGGCCGGAGAGGCGCCGAGGAGCGGCGAGGGCACGCGAAGACTGGAGGGGCCCCAGGACACACAAATGAATGCACACAAATAAACAGATTCCCCATATTTTCCCATGTTTTCCTGGGACTCGACGATTAATTGTGTCTGTGTTATTTTTGTTTCTCTTGAAAGACCTCGAGCCTCGAGCCCGCGGCGCCCCCAGACGTGGTCGCGTCGTAGGACATGCAGGACGAAGGTTTTTCGCCGTTTTAAGCCTCGAGAGGCCCTCGCCGGGCCCCAGGACCGTCCAAAAACGACTCGGGATGAAAAAAAACGCCCCGGGGAAAGGGTCGGGACTTCCAGGGATGCCGTCCTGAAAAAATCATGACGTCGCATGTCTGGGAGTGCATCCCCCCCGAGCCTATCCTCCCCGCAACGTTGCCCCTGAGATGATGGGCCCGTTTTCCACCACAGCCACCACCATGAGCTGAAGGGGGGAAGGGAGGAGGACGACGAGGACGAGGAGGGGAGGAGGAGGAGGAGCACGAGGAGGAGGAGGTGGAGGGGGAGGAGGAGGAGGAGGAGGAGGAGGAGGAGGAGGAGGAGGACCCCCTCCCCTCCAACTACTGCTGGTGGTGGTGGTGGTGGAAAACAGGCCCATCATGAGAGGGCCGCGCGTGGCAGGCCTCGTGGCCGAGCCGCCGGTAGCAGTGCAGGAAGACCTCGTCGTCGACGCCCGCCAGCACGAAGGGCGCGCCGGGCACGCAGGACCAGCCTGGCGGCACGAAGGGCGCGCGCTTGTTCTGGCGAGGCGCGAGAACGGCCCTTCCAAGGGGGTGCTCCCCCGGCCCCCCCCCTCACCTGGTACAGTCGGGGCGTTGACCTAAGGAACCCTAGATAAGGAACGAGGCCCCTTTTATTGTCATGAGTTGAACTTCGGTTCCCCATCGAAAACCTTGGGACAACCTAAGGCAAACTGCGAAACAATTAAGGAACACGGAGCCCCCCCCCCAATGAAAAGGGTTCCTTGTTCAGCCCCCCCCCATCGCCCGGTGACGCCACGGCTCGCGCTGGCGCCGTTTGAGCATTGCCAGGGGTGCGCAGCCGATTCCCAGCCCGGCAGCGGCGCGAATCGTGACGTGACCAGCCCCCGCGCCCCCCTCCCTCCCCCCCCCCCCCGGCCAAGGCCAAGGCCGTCATCGCCGGGGGATAGAAAGCTTTCTCTGGCGGGCGTTTTCACCAGCTCCTGCAGTTCCCTCGGCCTCGGGACGCGCTCCGGCAGCTGAACCAAACCACCCTGGGGGGGCCTGCAACGAAGAAGGCGGGCAGCGCTGGCAAGGAGGCGAAGGGACACCCAGACCAAGCCAGGGAGTGGGCGAGCCCCGGATCCCCTCGCGTCGTGAAGTGAACACGGCCAGGGGCTTTCTTCTCCGAACTTTCTGGGGGCCGTCGTGGGCCCCCCGGGGCGTTCAAGAACGACTCGGGATGAAAAACTGGCTCCAGGGAATGGGTCGGGACCTTGAGATGTGGACGTTGTGACAAATCACGGTGCCGGCGTTTGTTTGGGGGGGAGCCTGCAGCGAAGAGGAGGGGTGGCGCCGGCAGTGAAGAGAAGGGACTCCCTGGCCAAACCAAAAGTCAGTAGAGAACAGGCCTTGTCCTCGAGGGGAAGACGCCGAGGCAAAACATCAGACATCCCCACCTGTTTGGTCTGGTCGGGATTGCCTTTCCCCTGAGCAGGGGGCTACCCAGAGACAGACAGAGCAGCGCGAGCCCAGCCGATCTACCTCTGTCAGTGACGGCGCGAGCTTGGCCCCGATGCCGCCGAGACCGAGGCCCAGCGGGCAGCACCATCTGCCCAGGATGCAACTCCTGCTGCTCCCCAGAGGTGCGACGTCCCGGTTCGTGGTCCGGCACTGCCCTCCGGAGGTCCCGACCCCTTTCTCCAGGGCCAGCTTCCCATCCTGGTGCAGTCAACCCGTACGGTAAGGATGCGCGGTGAGGACGCAGAGACCTTGGAGGGCCATGTTCACGTTTTTCGAGCGGGGCGCGGCCAGCGAAAGTCTCGAAGAATGGGTCGAATGAGCAAGGATGCAAGGGTACCCTTGGGAAGGTTGGCCATCCTTACTATGCGGGTTGACTGCAAGGCTGCGGGCTGCGCAGAGCGAGCCCCCCCAAGTAGTCCCGGCTGGCATCAGGAGGCCCCCCCGAGTATTCCCAGCTGGCCTCAGCAGCCCAGGGCCCCCCGCAATGCAACGAAGGCAAGAACCTGCAGCTCACCGCGAGTAGTCCCTTGATCACGGCGAGGGCCCCGAGCAGACAGGGCAGAGCTCCTCCTCCGCCGCCGCCTCCTCCTCCTCCTCTTCTTCCTCCTCCTCCAACTCCTCCTCCAATTCCTCCTCCTCCTCCTCCTCCTCCTCCTCCTCCTCCTCCTCCTCCTCCTCCTCGTCCTCCTCCTTCTTTGTATTATGATTATGGTGATTCCTAGTATTCGTATTATTCGTACTACTATTATTATTACTATAATGGATATTATTATGCGTAGTGCGATTGGTCTCTTTCATAATAATCGTATGTTCTTCTTTCTCATGAATAATCGCATTATTATTGTGAATCGCATTCTTAATGTTTACTGATAGCAACCGTAGTATTACCAGTACCCTTATGTTTGTTATTATTATTCCTCCTCCTCCAACTCGTCCCCCTCCTCCCCCTCCTTCTCCTCCTTCCCACCCCCTCGTCCTCGTCCTCCTCCTCATCTTCTTTGGCGAGGCGAGGCGGGCGGTGACGATGTCTCCTGCGCGGCGTCCTCAAAGTCCGAGGGGGGGGGCGGAGCACGCCCACCCCCCCACTGCACCGAGAGCGTCCCACAAGCGGGCCGCCACTGCTGGAAAGAGAGCACGCAAGCAGGCTCAGTTCGCGATGGCGTTGGCGCCTCTGCTTCTCGCATTTCGCGCCGTGTTGGAGTCCCCGAGGCCCTCCGAACCACGTGAAGGGCGCCCTGGAGGCCGTGGGGGCCTCCCTGGAGGTCCCTCGGGCACCATGGGCCAGGGTCACCTCTGGCAGCACTACATAGCTTTTCGTGACTTGCTCAACGCAGTGTGACTTGCTCAACGCAGCACTTGCGAGGTTGAGGAGCGGGGCCAACAATAGGGGAACGAAGAATGACACAAACATAGAAACTCGGAGGTCCGTGCGGATTTCTCGGATCGGCGCTGGACCCTCCTGGCGGCGCCTCCGGCGCCGCCCCTGGCGCGCTCCGCACGCCGAGGAGGGGGGTCCAGCGCCGATCCGAGAAATCCGCGCGGACCTCCGAGTTCTTATGTTTATGTCGTTCCTCTCGGGCCGGGCGACAGGGGGGGATAGCACAGGGGGGGTTGAGAATCAGCCCGCGTAGCTGATCTTCCTGGTGCCTCCCGGCGCCGGAGGCGGCTATGCATCGCGAGGGATGGGCCCCGATCGGCGGGGCCGAAACCGGCTGGGTGCAGCAGATTTCGAGTGCCCCCCCTTCCCCAATGCCCCCCCTCTCCTCTCGTCCGGCCCGATCTTCGGCCCCGAGAACAGCACGGCCCACGGCGAGTTCGGGTTGCGCTCGCGCTGGCGCTGGCCTGTCAGACGCCGCACGGCTCGCTGGATTCAAGTCGGGCCTGTCCCCCATACAGGGGAATGTTCGACAAAGAATGAAAAATACACCAAAAGTAATCAAAACATAGTCCAAAAATAGTCTGGGGACTATTTTTCTCATATTTTCTGACCTTTTGGGGGGCATTTTTGGTGTTTGACATCGTTCGTCGAAAATCCCCCTTGTGGGGGGACACGCCCGACTTAACGCTGCATCTCTTTCCGACGGCCCAGCTCGTTCGACGTCGGCCGGCCCGGGCCCCCATTGCGGGCGCTCGGCCGCGAGCGCCCGCGCTGGGGACGCCGCCGCGCCGACGCGGCGCGAACTCTGCCGTACCTCGGCGCGCCGAAGGAAGGGCGCAGGAGGAGGGCTGCGATGCAAGGCGACGGCCCATGGAGGCGCAAGGAGTCGGGGATGGACAGACCCCCCTTTAGTAAAACGTGGTTGAGTGAAAACGACCTGAGGCCCAGACCTGGCGGGCGCGAGCCTGGACAATAGCGGCCACGGCGCCCTCTCGAGAACGGAAAACGGACAATGCAGTAATCGACGTGTCACTGTTGGGGGTTCTGTCCACCCCCGGAAAAGAAGAGAATGTTGCCTGCTCCGGCAGCGCGCCGGGCCGCAACCACAAGACGCAGCAAAGTGGTGCGGTACACAGGGACAGCGGGCAGAAAGTGCGACGTGGGTGGAAACGCAATTCCGCCGACCCTCGCTTGTCCAGGGTGACAAGGCGCGCGAGACAGTGAGACATTTGGCTGTCCCCTCCCTCTCACCCTCCCCCAGGGCCAGGGGGAAAGGGGGGGCCGGGAGGGAGGAGGGAGGAGGGAGGAGGGGGGAAGCAGGGGGAGAGGGGAGGGGGAAGAGGAGGGGGGAAGGGGGGGGGACGAGCTCGTCAAGGCACCCTCTGGAGCCTCCGGATCCTCCGAAAAGCCCTACGACGGGCCGCGAGGCTTCCAACAATAAGGCCCCGATGTTTTCCCAAAGGACCGCCGAGGAAGGCCCCAATAAGCAAAAGTCGCGCATATTTCTCTGATCGGGAAAAGTACATGTTTGGCATACTCGCCTTCTTCGTCTCGACACCGTGCAAGACGGCTCAAAAGGCTTCTAAAATCGTCCAAGTACGGCCCAAGAGGCCCTCAAGAAGGCTTCAGGACGGCCCAAGAGGGCCCTGAGACGGCCCCAATGCCGCCCAACATCGCTCCACGAGGCACCGCAGAGACCCCAGGAGGTGCTCAACACTGGGGATGCGAACTGATTTTCGAGCCGTTCATTGAGCAGGGCCCGACCGTCCCGGCACTCCTACAGGCCTACCACGAAATGTTCTTAGAACCCAAAAACATGACACAAACAACGTTCTTAGAACATAAACCCGATGTGATAAAACAAGACAACCTCAGCTAGAAACGTTCTAAGAACATCTATGCAAACCACAAAAGGTTCTTAGAACACTCTTTGGTGGGCCTATAGGCGAGCCAGGACGCTTCGCCACTGCTGGAGTTCACCCCGAGATGGCCAGGAGAGCTCCCCCGAAGCCCGCGAGGCGACCCCCACGAGGCTCTCCGAGGCCCCCAAGGAGCCCTCCTAGAGGCCCTCAGGAGACGCCCCGGGAGGCCCCCCAGAGCAACCCCCAAAAAGACCTCCAGATTCCCCGAGAGGCCTCATTCCTCCGTCTCGCCCTCCTCCGCCTACACGTCCGTCGCCTCTCCCTGTCTCTTTCCAACCAATCTGTCACATCTGTCATTGGGGGCCGGCGGAATGGAGTAAGCCTCTTGCATGCAACAGCAAAAACGTGGCGGTGAACGGACATGAAGCATGCATATGGTACACAAGCAAGCTGTCATGGCAGGTTCCAGAACTCCTGATCCCCAACCAGAAACCACAGGGGCGGGGGGGGGGGGGCACATCGTACATGTTCTGGCTTCCACTGGCCTTCTGCCAACCTTCCGCCGGCGAGCTGGCCTGATTACTGCTCACTCCTGCCGGCTTTCGCCCGCCTCCCGCCGAGAAAGAAAAGGCAACTTCACCCAGGTCCTCGGGCCTTCCCAAGGAATGGGGGCCGGCTGCACTGGAGCTTGAATCATGGGCTCATTTGGAAGATCCGCACCTGTCCAGCACAGGACGGCACGCAGCGACACAACCACGGGGCCCTGGCGGAATCTGCCATGACCTGCTCTCTCCACTCTTCGACCCCTGCTTGCGCCCCCGCGCCACCGCCTGGACCCGCGTGGGGCAGTCCTCCAGGAAGAAACTGCTTTCCGCCGGCGGCGAGGCGGAGGCGGTCCGCACCCGCGAGTGGCGCTTCGGGGCAACCGACTGGCGAATCGGCCAGCGTGCAAGAGAGGGGAAACGAGACAGTCGAGGCGGCCGCAGAGGCAGTGAGGAGGCGGAGGGCACCCCCCAGAAGAAATAGACGCAGTCCCCATCAAAAGTCTCGACCCCTTCCCACGGACCGGTTCTTCATCCCGGGTCGTTGCTTTCCGCGCTTCCAGGGCCCAGCGAGGGCCCCCAGGGGCCAGAAATGATAAAACAAAAACCTTCAGTCGTGATCTTCGATGCTCGCCCCTGAGGGCTCGACGGTCGGGAAAACCCAGATCAGCGGAGGACAGAACAGGGGGAGTCGGCCCCGCGTGGCTCTCACCACCCGGGTCAGCCAGAGGGGATTGGCTGACCATCGTTAGCGCTGAACCCTGCTGCGCGAGCCCCGACCCCCTGATCATTGGCTGCCAGATTGTTCTCGTCGCGACCGACGAGACCGGTCGCCACCGATGTTGCATAGAATTTCAATGCCGGTCGCGACCGACTTGCCTTGAGATCTGTCACGACCGATCGGCCGCGACCGATCGGTCGCGACCGACCGCGACCGATTGTGGAATCGGTCGTGATCTGTGGCGACCGATTTGCTGCGCCGATCGGTCGCCACCAATCGCAACCGACAGATTCTGGTATCCAATGATCTGGGGCAAGTGGCTCCCACCCCCAGGTCAGCCAGAGGGGGCCCCATACATGCGACGTCTTGACTTATTTCAACACGAGGTACCCCGAAGTCTCGACCATTTCCCCAGGACCTATTTTTCATCCCGAGTCGTTCTTCGACGGTCCCGGGGCCCGGCGAGGACCCCTGGAGACCGAAAATGGAGAAAAACCTCCCGTGCCGATTTTCTTCACGACGCGCGCATGTCTGGGGTTGGCTGGACCCCGTGAGCGCCGACCCCCGTCGGGGGCGACGACGGGGGCGAATAACCCGGGGGGAGCAATGCATGTATCCAGGGGCGCCGATGGTCCATGCCTTCGGCGAGGCTCCCAGGCGAATATGTGCAAAGCCCACCCCTGGGCTATTCGCCCGTGTCGTCGCCTCCGACCCCTTTGCGCGAGCACCAACCCACAGGTCGGGCATGTCCTCCTACAGGCGGATGTTACAGGGGAAAACAATAGCTTAAAAACAAATGCTCCAAAATCAGAGTGAGGGGGCCGAACGGTCACTCATTGTCCCTGAGTGCGTGGCTGGAAAAGGAATCCGTAGTGAGGATTATGTCTGTTGCGTTGTTGCTGTTGGTGGTGGTAGCGTTGCTGTTAATGTTGTTGCTGGTGTTGTTGCTGTTGTTGATGTTGTTGTTGGTGGTGGCGGTGTTGTTATTGCTGCTGCTAGTGCTGTTGTTGGTGGTGGTGGTGGTGTTGTTGTTGTTGCTTGTTGTCGTCGTCCCACCCGCGGCACACCCTCGACCAACCCCGCGACCCACCCCGCGACCCACCCCGCGACCCACCCCGCGACCCACCCACGACCCACCCCGCGACCCACCCGCGACCCACCCGCAACCCACCCGCGACCATCCCGCGACCCACCCCGCGACCCACCCCGCGACCCACCCCGCGACCCATCCGCAACCCACCCGCGACCCAGCCGCGCCCCAACAGCGACCCACCCGCGACCCACCCGCGACCCACCCGCGACCCACCCGCGACCTACCCACATCTGGTTTAACGAAAAAATCGGCGCCTGCGGCGGGCTCGTTGTATAATTTGTGAAACGTTGGCGCCTGCGGCGGGCTTCTCCAGGGTCTCGCAGACTGCCGACGTTCCCACCGCCCCCTCACTCTTATCCGAAAATATTCCACAGACTATTGTTTTCCTATTGTTGAATTTCCCTCCTGTAGAGGGACATGCAGCATGCCCGACTAAAACCACCCCCCCGCCTGTCGGGGATCTTCTGACCCGGGTCAATCCTGCCCCGGGTCAGTCAAGCCTTGCAGAATCCTGCAAGCTCCTGCAAGCTCCTGCAAGATCCTGCACCCAAGCCGGGGCCAACGCGAAGGATCCTGCAAGACCCTGCAGGACCCCTGCCCCCAAGCCCGGGTCAATGCACGCCTGGCGCTGCAGCATCCTGCAAGATCCTGCGCTCCAGCCGACCTCCGCTTGCATTGACCCCCGTCTCAAGGCTCCTCCTTCTCCTCCTCCTCCTCCTCCTCCTCCTCCTCCTCCTCCTCCTCCTCCTCCTCCCGCCCCCGGTCTAGCGGGCGTCGGCCGGCGGCGGCCTGGCACGCGGCGGGCGTGGGCACGCAGGAGCTGCTGCGGCGGGCCGTGGCTTGTTTTCGCTCGCTCGCGCCGCCTTCGCGCGCGCGCGCCCCTGGCGCGGAGAGCGTCGCCGACGCGCAGAGGGGGCACCCTGGGAGCACACAGGGACTTGTTCCGGGACTCAACGCGTGGACAGGAAGTGCATGCTGCTAGCACGGCCCCTTACGGGGCCTCTGAGGTTAGTTGGGGAAGCCTTGCTGCAAACCCGTCTCTCCCGCCTGTGCTACACACGCTCGGAGCAAATCTGTGCGATACAGCCAACACGCACAAGAAAGACGCACGATGAGGATGCATGGGCCTCTCAGGGCCATGTCGACGCCTGGCGAGCGGGGCGTGGCCGGCGAAAGCGGCCAAGGAGGGGCCGAAAGCGGAAGGATGCAAGGGCAACCCTGGAAAGCCTCTCATACATACTATGCGAGTTGACTCCAGGAGGGGGTTAGAAGTGGATGCGAACGTTGCTTAAATCTGGCCTGGCCCAGCTTGTAAATGAATTACAAACGAAGTGGCTGAAAGGGGCCAGGTAATTCTGCTAAGTGGGCTCCGCCCACGTAGCCCAGATCTCTGCTCACCGTAGGTCGCTCTGGGCCCTAACAACCCACTTCTAAGCTAGGCTGGGTCAGGGATCACCCACCTTGGCATCCACATTGGACTCCCCATATCCCCTTAGCAACCCCAGCGGTGATCCTAGCAGACCCACTGGCGTCGTGACAAAAAACACGACGATGGAGGGTTTGTTTTGTCAGTTCGGCCGCGGGAGCGTCTCAAAAAAAAATCAGGATGAAGAGCTGGTCTGGGGGAATGGGTCGAGACCCATGGGGGTCCACGTCATGAAAAAATCGCGCCGTCGACGATCGGGGGATTGGAATGTGGGATGGCGAGCAGCAAAACCCAAGATGGCCCCAAAGATCCCCAGCGCGCCCCCAAGGGCGCCGCGGACGCCGCGGAGGCCCCCTACCGGAGCCCCCCGGAGGCCCCTGGAGCGCTCCCGAGAAGCCTCCAGGAGGCCCCCGCCGAGGAGGCTCCCATGCCGCCTCCGGCAGGGCCCACAGCGGCTTCCTCGGAGACTCCACCAAGGCATCCAGGAGGTGCCTGACCCACGGCTCGGGCACGGGGGGGGGGACCATTCGAAGCGCGAGGGGGGGGGGCAACTCAGAGCAGACCGGGACGCTGGAACCGCACGTGGCCAGATCCACGTGCGGAGAATCTGGAGAGGGCACGCGCTGCAAGCGCATGCGGCAGACTAAGTAGCGCACACGGCCACCGAAGGGCGAAGTGCTGGAAAGACGGTTGGGAGGACACCGAAAGGGAACGATACTGCTGTTCTGCCACATAGGCGGAGTACCAGAGCGAAGAGTGCCAGCGCACCAGGGTTCTTCAGAGAGGGCTCCGTATCTATGGTGCTGACTCTGCTTCTGCAAAAGCACGCCCGCGCGGATCCATTCACAAGGGCAGTCACAAGAGCCCCGCACAAGGAACACCCTGTCCCCCGCACAAGGCCTTCGCAAATGACTCGCTCGCGCGAGTACTCGTTCGATTCAAAATACTCTTCCCAGCGCGTTCTGACCAGACTCTCGAGGCCAACCCACCGATGGCGGTGACGGTCCCACCAAGAGGCGCGAAAAAATGCAGAAACAAGGCAACCTTAGCGGTATATTGGTACCTCGTTCTCCTCTGAAGCTGGCCGCATGTGCATCCAGCGTGACGGCAGTCCCCTGCACTTGCAGAGGCCAGCGCTCAAAGGCTCGCCGCAAGTACAGGTTGTTGTTGGAAAAATATTGGCGGGCTGGCCAATCGCAGGCTCCGCTTCGATTTCAACCATGCTGATGGTGGGGAGGAGGAGGAGGAGGAGGAGGAGGAGGAGGAGGGGCGGCGTTATGGGTATGGGGGGCCAGCTCGGGGGGAACCCTCGACCTGGAATCGGCGATACATCGCCGACGGATCGGCGATGGCCCCCTCGGGCAGAACCGCACGCGCCCGGGCGAGGTGGCCTGCCGGGCCCCCTCCTCGGCCATCCATGGGCGATAGGGGGGGTCGATGCGCCCCCCGGAGCCTCTCCCCCCCCGCCGCTGCTCCCGAGGTGGCGAGAAAAGAGTCTCCACTTTGCTGCTGCTGTTGCTGCTCCCCTTTGCTTCCCTCCCCCCGTCCCCGCGCTTCGCTCCGCACTCTTGCCACAGGGCTCCTTACCGCAGGTAAAAAAAAAAAAGAAAAAACAAAAAAATGCATCCTCGGCGTTGGAGATGCACACGAAACGCCCTCCGGGCTGCAGCACGCGGCAGACCTCCCCGAGCGCCTGGCGCGGAACGGGGCAAGAGCAAGCAGCACCGCATCTGGGGAGGCCCAAAGAGCACCAGTACTTGGGAGTCCCGAAACGGTGCGGTGCCGGACCGTGCGGTGACCTCGAAATCCCCCACGACCTCACCGCACGGTCCGTCACCGCACGGTTTTGGGACCTCGGAGGCCCCTGTCGCCCGAGGCGTCCTCGGAGAACGACCCGAGTCCCGAAACCGTGCGGTGACCCCGAATCCCCATCGACTCACCGCACGGGTGTGGTCGCCGCACCGTTTGGGGGCCCCCGAAACACCGCTGCTCCCCGGACCTTTCCCCGGGGTGCGTTCTGACCAGGATTTCGAAGCGAATCCGGACTCCCCCGAGCGAAGTGAACCCCACCCTCCCCCTTAGAAATCGTGGGGGGTAGGGGTAGAATTCGCATGTGGCCCCCCCCGCCCAGGAGTCCCAAAACGGAGGAAAACGAGGGAAGGATAGCGGTGTGGGTACCGTTTCCTTCTTTCCCTGGTAATTGGATACTGGAATTTTCCAGTCGCGACCGACGAGACCGGTCGCTACCGATCTTGCTTCAAAGTTCGGTATCGTTCGCGACCGATCTGGAGTGCCGATCGGTCGCTACCGATCGCGACCGAAAACATCGGGTACCCGATAATCTGGACTGAACCTCCCGGAGCGCCTTGCGCGGAACGGGAACCAATGGTCATCAACGCATCGGCACATCGGCTCGGGGCCGGAATGCGAGTCGGTTCGGGCTGCGTCGGCACGGAGTCAGAGCCGAACTGGAGATCGGCCGCGCCAGGATGGTCGGCAACGCCATGCAGGCACTGAAGGGAGCAGCGCCTAGTCGAAGCACCAGGTCGGCCCAGAGAGGACCAGCCCGAGCCGACACTTGTGCTTTATCGATGTCGTGTGTGTTTGTCTCTCACGCTTTGAGTTTACCCCCCACACACACATCCTGAATGGGGTTCTAGCGTTCCTAGAGCACCCACCCTCTCCTTCTCCCTCCTCCTCCGCCGCCTCCGCCTCCTTCTACTCTTCCCTACCACTATAACCACGACTACCACTGCTACCATTGGCACGATTACCACTACTACCACTACTACCACTACGATTCACTAGCAATACCACTACTGCGACTACCGTCCAGGGAGGCCCCGCCAGAGCGAGCAGGACTTTCGAAGACCATACGATTCACCAAGTTTCGTGCCACTCCCACTCCTCCAGGGAGGCCCCGCAAGAAGGGGCAGGGTATTCGAAAGCCATGCTCTTTGCCAGATTCCGTGGCCCTCCCACCCAGGTAGGCCCCGCCAGAGCGGGCAGGGTACTCGCAAACCATCCGGTTTACAAGATTTCGTGCTCCCCCTCCACCCCTCCAGAGAGGGCCAGAGCGGGCAGGGAATTCGAAAGCCATACCATTCACAAACTCTTGTGCCTCTCCCACGCCTCCCGGGGACTCCAGGGAAGGCCCCGCCAGTGCGGGCCGAAAACCATACTACTTACAATGTTTCGTGCCCCGCCCGCCCTTCCAGGGAGGCCCCGCCAGAGCGGGCAAGGTTTTGCAAACAATGCAATTTACAACGTGTCGTGCCCCTCCCGCACCTCCAGGGAAGCCACGCCAGAGCGGGCAGGTGTTCGCAAACCGTGCAATGCACCAAGTTTCGCGACCCTCCCACCCCTCTTAGGGAGCCCCGCCAGTACGGGCAAGGCACTAGCAAGCCCTACAATTTAAAAGGTTCCGTGCCCCTCCCGCCCGTGCACGCTGCCCGGTGAGGCCCCAAACACAACCCACAGAAGACGTCAATCTCGTGGCCTGTGCCCTCACACATTACCCTCTCCAACCTTCTCACTACCATGCTTCCCCCTCGTGGGAGGTTGTGTTCCCCTCGTCGGCCCGAGCGGACGATGCGCAAACCGTCTTGTATAAAGATTCGTGCCCTCCCCACCTCGTCTGCCTTCCGAATACCACTGCCCCCTCTCCAGGGAGACATGCTGGACGGCGCGCTATGTAAAAACCGTGTTATACATCTGGGTTCGAGATTGTCCCACTGTGCAGCTTCCAATAATGACCACATTGCCCCTTCCAGGGAGGTTCCCCCTTTCCGCTCCCACCACACGTCCCAATACGGAACGGTGTTGAGGGGAGCCTCTGTTTGACCGCGGCAGGCCGTCGGTACTCTCCAATGAATTATTGCTCGCTCCTCCCATCCCTCCCTTCCTCTCATTATCCTCGAAATCCCTTTCCATCTCCGATGATCGCCCTTGCACTCTATCGCCGTGCCCCCTCCACTTCGCATGAGGAAAAGGCGGAGGAAGAGGTGGAGGGGAAACAAGGAGAAGAGAAGCATACAGCTGCGGTTTGCACTATCGCAGAGGCGTTGGAAATGGACTCCAAGCAGGAAAAAGGACGAGCTGTTGCTTCCCCTCCTCGCCTTCGTCTGCCCTCCCACGAGTACACCTGAATGTCAGAGGCCTTTCTTGTATGTTACTAGTTCTGTGCCCCATGGGCCCCGCTGAACCCTTAAGAACCGTATGTGCGGAACTCCGATAGCATCATCATTTTTTGGCCGGCAGGAACCGATATCGAATCCGATCGATCTGATCGAGACGGCGGCGAGCGTGGGGGGGGAAGCGAGAAAGGCCGAGCCTTCTCACCAGGCTCGGAAGTCCCCCGGTCTTCTGAGAAGCTATTTAAGACTCCGCCGAAGACACAACACAACATTCTTCAGAAGGCGTGAGGGTTTCTCAGAAGTGCCAAGCGTTCTGAGAGCGCTTTCTCCTTTTCACTCCACCCCCTCGCTCCCAGACACCCAACGTCAATCTTTTTCCGTGACGCGATCCACAAAGGCCGACAATAGTGACAAAATCTCCCGTCGTAATTTTTGTCTGTGTCTCGAAAAGGTCTGGGCGACGAGAGGGGCCCTGGGGGCGGGGAAGGGAGCGCGTCGCCTCTCTATTTGAAGTTCCTGGCGCGGACCCCGGAACTCTCCGCCCCCCAGCCTGCCTCGGGAGAGCTACCGGGCGAGGGAGGGGGCCCCCGCGGGACCAGCAGCAGGGGTAGCATAGCTCGGGCGAAGGATGGGCCAAGACCGCCCGCCGTGATCCTTCACGACACGAGGGGGTTGATTTCGGTACCTCGATACCAGAGATCCTAGGATATGAGTTTTCAATCCATCGATGTTTAGTGGATTTCGGCCTCCAGCAGGGCCCGTGATCGTGTACGGGGACCATGCAAAATGGATACGAGACGAAATACCACTCACGAAGGAAGGGTCGGGACCTCTGGGGCCGCGGATTGGAAAAATCAGATCGGCGGATGTCTAGGAACCTCCGGCGCCGGCTCAAAACGATCCGCGCACGCCCAAGACGCCGTCGACGAGGCGCAGGTGATTGAATAGGTGGCGAAACCCGAACCCTGAACCCAACAAACCATGGATTCTGCTGAATCAATGGGAGGCGGGATGGGGGTTCGGATTCTGCAACATACTCGATGAGTTCCAAACCCTACACCAGCCGCCCGAGTTGCCTGACCCGTTGATCGACGAGGGTCGGGTTCGGATTTAGCCGTCGATGGAAACCATCCCGAGGCTAGAGAACCGCCAGGAGCTAACAAAAAACACCGGGAGACACCATATTTCAAGAGAAATAAGCCCGTCGGGACCTCAGGTAAAATATAATCAACAACCGCCCCTCGTGATTTCTTCACGGCGCGAAGGGGGTTCGGGGAGGAGGATGAAGAGCAGGAGAAGCAGGGGGAGGAGCCCTCCCCACCCTGAACCTAAAGCGGGCCTTGCTCCAGCGTTTTGTCTGTAGGGCAAGGACGAGGAAGAGGAGGAGGAGGAGGAGGAGGAGGAGGACGACGACGACGACGAGGTCGACGTGGCGGGCCGGGCCGGGAGGTCGGAGTGGCGGCGCGCCCTGGGCAGCGCGAGCTGGAACCCCGGGCCCCAATGTTCTGCCACGGCGCGCTGCCAACGGTTCCAGCGACAGCCGCCGCCGCCCGGCGGAAAGGGGCCCCCTGTCCGCGGGCAGCCCCGAGAGCAGACGGGCCGCGGGCGGCGCTAGCAGAGGCCGCGCAGCCTCTGCGCGTCGGGTTTCGACGAGCACGCGACGCTGACCCTCCGGCGCACGCGGGCGGATTACGACTCATCCACAAGCCCAAATCAAAAAGAAACTGGGCAATTCCAATGAAGTCCCTGGCCGCTGCTGCGAACACGGTCAAAGCAGTGCCTGGGGACTGCTTTGAAAGATTGCGATGCGCGCTTGGTCACGATGAACACAAAACGTGGCAACGGCAGAAGCGATGGCACCAGCAACCATATGATGAGGTTGTATGACTCGCACACTGGCCACACAGCGCCGACGCAACAGGGCCCGCCGCAACTGCCAGCCCTCCCACCCACCCACCCCCACCTGCGCCCACTTTCGCTCGAAGACACCCTACTTCCCGCGGCGCCGCCGCATCCCCGCGAATCTCCACGTCGCCCGACTTGCCGAAAGGCGCTCGTAAACCAACTTTCAGGAGAGACCTTGCACGGCTGCGATGTACATCTGGATGTTCCCCAACGTTGACACCATCCTGTCAACGCACTCGAAAAGCCGCAACTGCGGCGCGCGCCCCCCCTCAACCATCTGTCGCACGAAGGTAAGCTCCCTCATGGGAAATCGCCGCGCCGACCCACTTCGGGCATCCGCAATTGCGCGCGCATGGGCAGCCAACCCCTTAAGCGATCACGGCCCCCCCTTTAAACATCATCTCCGCTGGCGGAGGCCCGCCACTGCGGATGTTCTCCACGTCGCTGGACACCGGTCCACCGTTTCTCGTTGACACCGCGTCCCTCCGCCGCTGGAACAACGCCACCCTTCACGGCCAGGATCGCCGCGCCGGCGGCGGGCCCCCGTTGCTCGGGGGCCGGGGCACCTGCCAAGTCGGCGCGAAGCCTTGGCCCGTCGGCGCGACGCATCGAGCTCCCAGGGGAGCAGGGCCGGAGGCGGCGAGGCGCTGCCGGGCGGCCGCGGGCACCTGCGCAGCTGGGGCGGCTGGAGGGCACCGCGCGACAGCGGCAGCGGCGGCGACGCCGCGCGGCGGCAGGGGCGGAGGCGGGCGGGCTGCCGCGGCGGCTGGGCGCGGCAGCCTGCTCTCGGGCGCCGCCGGGGGCAGCGGCCGCGGCCGGGGCGCGGCGGCGACGGGCCAGCGCGCGCGGCACGCCGTCCGCTTTCACGGGGTGGCCCCGCGGACTCAGGGCCCCTCAGGGCTGCGGTGGGATGGACGAAAGGAGGAAGCGGATCGGACGACTCCGCTCAAGGCACTTGCGTGTGCGGCAGGGCCGAGCACACAGCTGCGCGCTCGTTTGGCTCAGAAGGAAAAAGGAGAGGACAGTCGGGCGGGAAGATGGCGGGGCCGCGCGAGGACGGGGGAGACAGCGGGCGGCAACGAGGAGAGGAGGGCACCAACTGAGAGGCGCAGCTCGCAGCACCCGCGCAATCAGCGAGCAGCTTCAAGGGCTCGGTGCACTCGGCGTCGCTGGAGTCGCCGCGATCGTTGCTGAAGTCGACCACCGACGGGGTCTCATCCGAAGCGGGGGGGGCGTCGTCGGGATAGCCGCAGCATGTAGCCATGGTCCTGCGATCCTCCAACGAGTTGAAGTTGCCAGCGAACGAGCCTACGGCGAAGCACATATCCATCGAAAGGTCGCACGTGTCCATGGCGCTGGGCGAATCCATAGAACCGACCGAGAAAACCAGCACGTACATCTTGAGCTCGTGGAGGTCGCTTGCTCGCGGGTCGAGGCGAACCGCTGAGGAGCGATCGCCACCGTGCGCCGACACGACCGAGAACGTCGGCACGTCCATCTTCAGCTCGTCGTCGCGGAGTTTGTTGGCGCGCGGGTCGAGGCAGACCGCTGAGGAGCCACCGTCGCCGTGGCAGTTGGCTGTAACCGCAGTGACCGCCCCTGGCAGAGCGGGGCAGATTGTCCACTGCAAGCGTAGGGCGACCCCTATTCGTTGCTGTTACCGACGGTGCATACACGCTGCGCAGCGTCGTCACTCTCAAGGATATCGGGCACGAAAAACGCCAGAGCAGGCCCGATCTTGGGCGCGCCCTGCAGGCTGATCGAGTCGGAAGGCTGCTGTTGCAGCTCCCCCAGTGCCGACGACTGCATGAAGTTGCGCGCCATGTTCTCAATCTGGGGGTTGGCTGCGTCGACGACCTTGGCGATGGATCGCTGGTGCTCTGATTGCAATACTGTCAACAGCCGCGCACTGGTCTTCAAATGGCACGCGACTGCCTTGCCGTTGCAAGTGATGGCCATGGTGTCCATAATTGTGCAAGCCGGCGGCGCGGCAGAAGTCGTGCTGCTTACCCCGGAGGAGCCATCTCAGCAGCACGCGCTTGATTTTGGAGATGATCGACTCGGTGCTTGGCTCGGTTGGCAGCACGGTGGGCACGAAGACGCTGGCGAAGAATAGCAGGAGGCAGCTCCGCATCCGCAGCGGCTTCGCGAGCATCATTCTGAAGGCAGTCGGCAGCGCGATCATCAATCGCGCGAAACTCCGTGGAATGTACCACCTGGGCTGCCGCGCGCTTCAACCACACCGGAACGGCCAACCATCGAAGACCAGCACCTGGAAGGGGCTGAAGAAAGCCGCGCTCTGTGGTTCAGGCATGGCGCGCCTCGCGGCGTGTAAGGGAACGACGCCCTGGCATGAGAAATGAAAGCGGAGGAGGCGCCAGTACTCAAAGGTGCACCCTGGCAGCACATTTGCCGACGGGGTGGTGGCCTCGAGCCAAAGTGGCTACGAATGCTGCAGGAGGACGAGTCTGAGGAGGAGGTGGACGAGGAGGATGAGGAGGAGGACAACGAGGAGGAGGCATCTCAGGCGAAGCAGGCCAAGGCGGCGGATCTCTGGGCGCGCGCGCGCGTACCGACGCCTGCGCGCAGTGCGCCGACCGCAGCGCGTCGAAGCAGCCCTTGTCGACCACGGCTCCGAAGGACCCGCCGGCAAAGGGCAGGGCCCGCACGTCCGCCGCCGCGTAGTCCACGCGGCCGGGGCCTGCGGGCGCAGGGGGCCCAGACCCCCACGAGCCATGAAGAGATCACGGCGGACGGGTTTTGCTCGTTTTGCTGTTACGCAGCTGCGCTCTGCACTGGGCCCCGGGGCCCTCAAGAAGCGACTCGGGATGAAAAAGAAGGTCCCGAGGGGTGGGTCGACACCTCCGGGGGGTCCACGCCGTGAACAGAATCACTGCGCCGGGGGTCTGGAGAGGGGGGCCCCCCGCTCCTTGCCCTGAGGGCGCGCACCAAGGGGAGAGGGCGCGAGGGTTTCGGATCTCCGACAGTTTTCTGATGGTGCCGCTCCTCCTTCTTTGGGGCGCGCCGCAGTGGAGGCCGTGGTTTTTCCTGTTTTGGTTCACGGAAAGAATCATTCGCGACCACGCCCGTGGTCGGCCCAGCCCCCGCCCCCCCTGGTCACGTCACGATCCGCGCCGGCGCCGTGGGGGAACTTGCCAATCCCTCTCGGGCGCTGGCAAGACTGGGTTTTGCGGGGCCTGGTTTACGAAAGTGCACCGGGGGGCAACCCCCCCCCCCCCGCCCCATTCCACGAAGCAGAACTGCCGTCGCCCGACAAGCGCCAGCTACGGCAGACCCCGCTTATGGATTCTAGCCTCTGTCTGGGGCGTACGGGGCCCAAGCACTACCTGACCAGGGTCCTGGCTATGCCCGACCCTTCCCAGACATGCGACGTCCCGATTTTTTCAGGGCGGCATCCCCAGAAGTCCCGACCCTTGCCCCAGGACTGGCTTTTCGTCCCGAGCCGTTGTTTGACGGCCCTGGGGCCCGGCGAGGGCCCCCCGGGGCCGAAAATAACGAAAAACTTGCCGTCCTGTTTTTTTAACGACGCGAGCATGTCTGGGTCTGCACCCCCAGGCGGCGACGGCGCGAAGCGTGGCGTGACCGGCCCCCTCCCCTTGCCCCCGTTGTGGGCCACGTCCGTTAGTCGCCAGGGGGCGCAGCTTGGAGTCCCGAAACGGTGCGGTGACAGACCGTGCGGGGACCTCGGAACCCCAAGAGACCTCACCGCACGGTCCGTCACCGCACGGCCTTGGGACCCTGGAGGCCCCTGTCGCCCGAGACGTCCTCGGAGAACCACCCGAGTCCCAAAACCGTGCGGTGACCCCGAATCCCCACTCACTCACCGCACGGCGTGGTCACCACCCCGTCTGCGGGCCCCCGACACAGAAATGGTCTCTTGCCCTACACCGCGGGGAGGTCTGGGCCCCTCTCCCCCCACCCACCC